TATCTTTAACATTTTTTTAAAAAAACATTTCTTCTTAGAGGGCGCTTATTTACAGTCTAAAACGTATTTTAAGATTTTTTCATTAAATTCCTTTTTAAACTTCATTAACTAATACAATTTTGTACAAATAATTGAAAGTTATGCTACTATTTACAAAAATAAAATCTGAAATCCAATAAAAGATGAGTTCTCTACCATTTTTTCAATTCACAAATGATTTTGCCCTCACAATAAGACAAAATGGCCCCGGTAAATATCGGGTTAATAAATTGATTAATAAATTTCCCTTAAAACCAGTGTTACATATTTGAATTTCAAATAGCCTGAAACTGAGTTAAATGATACTTTGAATTTAGTAGTTAAATTGAATTTTGAATTTAGCAGTTAAGTAAAAGCCGATATATAGTCAGTTTATGATATATGCCAACAATATTGATACACATAGTTTTCTTTTTTAACACAAATATGTTTTAATATACAAACAACAATACAATTTACAAAAACAGGTATTACAAATAGTTATTACAGACAATGATTTATATACAAGAGTTTTACAAACTTACAAAAAATATAGTCTTATTTCTAGTCTGGAACTTCTTTGATATTTTATCGAGGGTTTACAATGAGCGAGTTAATTATGAGTTGATGTAGGTATAATTCAGTTAACAGGGAGCTAGCTAGCTTTGTCCTGTGTTATTTACCAGCCACACACGTCGAGTTTTCCACTATGACGTTATGTAATGTTTTCATAAAAATACTAATGTCCGATGAGAATCCACTGAAGTTAAATGATTTGTAATGTTCGAACTTTGTAAATGCTCCTGGTCAAATATCTGAAGTTTTCCGATTAATAAGTGTTAATCACAGTTTTAGCTTCCAAGGTTAATAGTACACCAACTATAGCAAACCAATAATAGATACTCTTTTTTTGGCACGTCGCATTGGTTATATTTATAGGCGTGTGGAGGCTTTCTAGAAAATTCAGATTATGTAACAATACAAAGCTACATTTAAGTACATGAAGTACGTACGTTCACTGGCCAGTGAACTACAGAACTTTCTAATTGTTGTGAATTTCTCCAGTGAAGTGGGACACGTGGTGCTCCGTGTTATCAAGTATATAAATGGGCTGCAATGATGAATGTTGTTCACTTTACAACATCTGTAAGTAGAAGGATCTCAATGACTTCACAAAGGGCATGACAGTGTGAACTCGTGTAACATAGATGTTCACTAAGGAAGTAGCTAAGTTGAAAAAGAAAGATATCTGTCAAGACAGTTTTCCATGTCTACCTGGAATAGAAAAATCTTGGGAGAACATCCACTACAAAGTAGATATATGGGTACAAAAGGATCAACACCTACAGAGATTGCTGACTCACTGCATGTACTGTGAGTAGCTGCAAAGCATACAGTGGTTATATAACATTGGGCAAGATCACACCATATGAGAACATACTGCTGGGAACTGCAGAGTATTGGATTTTGTAGTCAAGTGCCTCTTCACAAGCCCATAATTTTTAGACAAGTACTAGATATTAGAGCTGGGTAATCAATGTATTTTGATAATCAGTTACTCGTTGGACTCATTAATCGAATATGTTCAACTTACAGGTTATTCTCACATAAGACTTGAATAATCAAAAATAGTAATATTTGAAACCACTAATTTTGATTAGTTGATTATTTTACATGACACTAATCAATACTCATGGGTAATCAAGTGTTAACCACCCAGCTGTACTGGATATGTCACCTGCATTTCTACCATGAATAGATTCTAGATCAGTGATTGGCAACCTATGACCCGCGGCAATAATTTGTCTGACCCGCCAAAAGTTGACTTCACCATTGCAACCCG